AATAACAGGAGATTTCTCGATCTTCTTTAGAAGGTGAGCCGAAGAGGATTTCAGAAGTAAATTAGGAAAAAAGTAGACTTGCCCTAAATCATGGACTTGTAATTGCTTATATGGAGAGGATGTGGTTTCCTTTTTTAAAAGTTTATTTTTTCCGGAAAGCCGAGAGTGGGAGTCGGTGCCTCTGGCTGCGGCGGTGACAGGAGAAAGGGGCGAAATTGCTCCCATGAAGTGTCCGGCAAAACGCCCATCCCTGACGTCGGCCTGCGGTCAGCTCCGCCTCAGAATAATTTTTTCTTGGTTAGCCGAACAAAGGGTGGGATGACTTCAATAAAAATTTCACGAGGTTCTAATGTAATCCGAAGACGAAGCGCACTAACAAGCATAATATTTTGTTTTAAACCAAAACAAAAGTCTTATCTTTTGTTAGGTTTCTGCATTGGATCTGGATATCCTTTTTAAATTTTTTATCAGAATAGTTTTATATTCATTTGATTTACTTTACAAAAGCATATTATAGAACAAATCAATCAACTATCTCATTACCTCATCTCAACCACGCACTAAATGTATATTTTTGTAAGAGGCATTTAACAAACACGTTGGGTCCATACTCTCTATCGCGCATATCCTTTGTGGACGATGTGCCGATCCGACGAAGTGGAGGTCGTGGACGTTCCCGCGGAGGCCAATGTGGGTGTACGGTCCGATCTGGGACGCTTCTTCATGGACAATGAACGACGGCAAGTACAGGGCCGACTACCGCTTCCAGCACTTCGTTGTCAGCTTCACCTGCTTCATCGCTCGCGGCTGCACAGCCACTTCACTGACCACTTTCCAGCCGCCGCCCTCTTCTTCTGTGGGATTCGGGCTCATACAGCCTCAGCGTGCGGCCATGGAGTTAACATCCAAATTTATAATTATAATATAAAATTTAAAACGAATGTCAAGCGGACAATGGAATTCGAAGCGAACATGGAATTCGGAGCCGACGACAACGGACGAATCGGGTGAGAGCGTGACCATGGAATTCAAAGCGAATGTCAATCGGACGGCGATTTGGGTCGCGAATAGTGAATGTCAAGTGGACCATGGAATTCGAAGCGACAATGGAATTCGAAGCCGACGACAACGGACGAATCGGGCGAGAGCGTGACCATGGAATTCGAAGCGAATGTCAAGCGGACGGCGATTTGGGCACGAATACAAAAACGTTAAAGTTATAATTATTAATTAATTGTAATTTGAGTTTATATAATGTGATCTTTTTTATTTATTAAATATTTTAATAGAGATGAACGGTCAAGATAATTAAAAAATAAGTAGAATGGATGAACAAGATTTCCCGGAGGAAGGAAACTCAAGCCCCTTTTATAATAGTAGTATAGTATAGATGTACCGTTTAAGTTTTAATATTTATTTATAAAATATTTTAATGTCTCAAATTATTCTCTTGAAATTATACTTTTAAAATTAAACCAAAAAGCTCTATGAAAGGAGGAGGTTAGAGAATAACCTAAGGAGCGAGGCCAGGCCCTATATGTAATTTAATTCTTTATTAAATATAATATTAAAAATTAAGTTAAATTTGTTTAAAAATAATAATAAATAAGTTTGTTAATTTATAAAACTGTTGCGTCTTGTAATATTTGCGACGGTAAACAAATATAAAATTTAATGTCTTAGTTTTGTTCGAAGATTCGGCACACAAACTGATAAAAGAGATGTTGTAGCGTTCATAAGAGACACTAGAATTTTTACGTTCAACTGATGTATCATCAATAAATTATTTTGATCAAGCTTGAATCTCTAGGAAAATCAAGTTGGAAACTTCTCAAATTTTAAATTGTTCAGCAAACTTACAATTAAAATGACCGTCTCGAAAATATGAACCCAACGACACCAAATTCGACTCAATCCGACCCCAAATGGGTCCAAATCTATGACCCAAAGTGCCGTTGGAAGGTTCAAACCACAATTTAGATTACCAAACGGTTTCCAAACGTGACATGCTCATAGTCGAATCGAGCGGCTCGACGAGACAATTCTAACCAACCCAAGATTACGAAATTCCAACGTAACTAAGACCTTCAAATGTTCAGCAAATGATTCATGATCAAGGGATTCAACATCGGCCGTCCATCTATACCACTTCCCATTTACCCCCGATCATTCTCTTATTTATGGGCCTTGCCACTCTAGGAAATCTATAAATAAATCTCTTCTTTCTCTTGAAAGGGGCCCCAAGCAAGAAATCAAGAGGGAGATCGGAGATCACTACTCTTGCCTCCTCCCTCCTCCTCGACCATTGCCAGACCACCAACTGAGGCCCGAACTTTCGCCAGATCACCAACAGAAGTCAAAGTTCTGCCATACCACATAATAAAGCCCGGACATCCGCCATACCACAGCCCCTATCTCATGACAACTTTGGTCATTCCAACCTCTGTCGCCTACTACGGTCCTTCCGACCTCTATCGCTAGATAACGATCTTTATGACCTCTATATCCTGCCAACTATGGTCATGCCGACCTCCGTCGTCTAATATGATCATTCTGACATCCATTATCAGACAACGATCTTTCTGACCTCTGTTTCCTACCGACTACGGTCCTTTCGATCTCTGTCACCCACTACGGTCCTTCCAACCTCCATATCCAGAAAATGATCTTTCTGACCACTGTCTCCCGTCTACTACGATTCTTCCATCCTCCCTCACTAAACAACAGTCTTTCTAATTACTATCTCCCGCCAACTACATAATTTCCGACCTCCCTCGCTAGACAACGCTCCTTCCGACCACCGTGACTAGACTACGGTCTTTCCGACCTGTATGGTTCACCGACTCGAGGTAATTAAAGCACGTTCTTCTTTGTCATCTTCAACCTCTTCATGATACAGGAACTTGTTCACGGAATTACAACAAGTATGTGAGAAAGTTGCAAGCATGGAGAGTTCGATGGCAAAGTGGCATCTAAGAGTCGTTATTGAATTATGCTGTCTCGAATCACTTAGATGGGAATATGAGAGGTAAAGGTCGTGGAGAAGATGTACTCAATGGTTGGAAAGTCACACTAGGGTCAGTTAAGGGCCCTTAAGGTAAGCGCTTTCCTTAGTCAAACATGAATGTATGGGGATAAAGCCACCCACCCCGAGTAGGGACGAGTTGCTATATAGGTTGCCTCCATTCCATGAGGTGAGTGGCGAGTTGCTTAGTTGGCAAAGTTTCTTATTGCGCCCGCCATCTTCCTTTGTAGACCCGACCAAGCGAGGCTGGTCATTCCTTGGGCGAGCTCCTTTGTGGGGGCCATCAAATGCGACTCCTCACCTTGTAATATGCTGTCCACCTGCTAATTACATGTGAAGGCATAGGCGGGCATATAATCATATTTATCAAAATATTACTTCTAAATAATTTTTAATAGACTCTCATTCTCTATATAGAGAGTATCATTGGCTTGAGATTCAAAATATCTTAAAACTTGAAAAGCTTGATAGAACCACTTGTAAAATTTTTCAGAAGCCTATTCGAGTAAGTTCTGATTATAATTAAGAGTTGACTTGGATGGGCAAAAACTATTTTTCTAAACAGAATAAATGTTAAAATTTGTTGTAAGAGTTAACCTCCTACAGGTCACAGTGAAAAAATAAATAAAACCTTAGTTAATCAAAACATGAAAAATAACTACATTTTCAACTAAAAAAAATATTCTGAAGCAACTTGTCACTGTAAGTTATTGATATGAACTATGATGGATTACACTCCAATTTATGGTTCATTTACTTTATGTTGTTTTCTTTGAATTATAATTATTGTGTGTTTGAATATTTGCTACGGTAGAGAGATAAAGAGTTTAATGTTTAAGTTTTGAATATAAATCTAACACACATATAGATAAAAAAGAAAGGGGTGTAAGTGTCATAAGAGATTAGCATTTTTATGTGAAAAATCCTAAAAAAGAAAAAAAAAATCATGAGACCTGAACCAATTGAAATGATTCTACTAGTGTTTGTTGTTAGTTATAAAAAATGCCGTTTTACGGGGGAAGATATTGATCAATGTAGCATATATACATCATATATAACCCATTACATGTTTGAAATTAGAAAAGTCTAATGATTTTTTTTTTTAAATAACCACAAACTATATTGAACAAGAAAATTACAAAAGGAAGACCCCCAAAGGGCCACATCAGATGCTTACAATCAAAAAAGCGAAATCAAAGAAGAGATCAGAATAATGAAGGTTGAAATCCACGGACTCAGACCAGCATCGGGTTGCCAGGGCGGGGCCATCCACTGGTAAAAAACGAAATCGAAGGGCCAACCAGGTTGCCAACCAACCCTGACTGTCCACGACGCTTGCAGCCTCGCTGCTTCCTCATCGTCCAAAACGAACCAATTAAACAGGCCAACCCACCAACCACCAATGCAAACAAATGCAGCAAACGAATCACACTTAATGGCACAAAAAACAGAAACATAGCAACAACCAGCAATCAACGACCACGCCTGCCCCTCCCACGAGATTTGCCCCGATAATCAGTAGTCACCAAAGGTTTATCGCGCAACAGATTGAACGAATTACCAGGATCACCATCTCCCAAAGATTCAACAGAATCAGAACCAGACTCAGATTCAGATACATAACTATTGACATGAAGCCAGTCCAAATGGACTCTAAGATCAATGCCTGATTTATCCTTCACATTATAATGCAAGCTTTTAGGATCCATATAAGTCACTGGAACATCTACAAAATCATTAAGCACAACACGTTCATTACAAATGGGACTAGAATTACCCGAAACAGCCACCCGACACACTTCCTCATCCAAATTATCCACGGCAGACGACTGAACCTGGACAACCAAGTCCCCAGAATTTAAAGACTGGCCGGCCAAAATAGCTGGGGCCGAAACAACAGACAAAAAAGGAACCTCCTTAGGAGGGCCCTCAACGCTATGACAACCACGTTTGGAAATTAAATTCAAACCAGTAGGAGTAAAAGGTTGAGCGTCGGGAGATATAATAGCAATCGACTCAAAACCATTAGCATTAGCATTTAGACACCTCAGTTTCCACAGCCATTTCCACATTTCCTAAACCGGCCAAAACAGGGGAAACAGACACAAGCCTCACCACATGATCAGAGCAGAGAGGAGAAAGAGTAGCACAACCAATACCACCTAAACTAACAATGGCATTATTCACAGCCAAATTGGCACTATCCGAACTCAACACCACTGGGACAACAGGAGGTACAACAGCAGGTAAGTTACTTTCCAAAGAAACAGGAGTTACCTCAGCCACAGACGGCACAACCACACGAGGCTGAAGAGAAGGGCACTCAAGCTTAGAGTGACCCAGAGACTTGCAATGTCAACAATAAGAGGGGAAGGGATCCATAATAACCGATTGTATATAGCCTAAGCTCTCGGAACCCAACCAAATTTTGTCAGGATACACCTTGGTAACATCCAATTCCACTAACACCCGAGCTATCGAAGAACGCCGACCAGAGGAGGTAGCATGATCAATTTTTAATGGTTTACCAAACATGGAGCCAATACCAAATAGAATTCTCAGAGCAAAGAGATGTGGCCGAAGGTTAGGAAAAGAAACTCAGATAGGAATAGAAGGGGATTCAACATCTATGTCAAATGTATGAGTCCATTTAAAAATCTTCATAAAACAGTTATTCACGAAATAAGAGCGATGGGCAAACACACGACAGTAATCCATGTTGTTTTCCAACTTAATCAGAATATGCTTAGAGTTAAGAACAGTGATAGAGAAAACACCATTAAGCTTGAGATTAAAAAAAAAATTCGAATAGTTTCCAAAGACGGACGATGAGTCGGAAATTTACCGACCAGAGCAAACTCAAAAGAGGAGGCAAGGGCCAGCACTTCCTCATCTGAAATCCACAGTGAAGGAAGGCCCCGGAAGGACGAAACCTTTAGATCAGAGAAAGGTGAGTTCGAAGCAGATGAACCCACTAGGGCATCACGAAAAGACCGAGAAGCGGACGAACCAGATAAAAAACCTGGATCCAAAAGCCTTTTACCCTCCATAACTAACATAAGCACCGAGCAAAAAACGAAGAAGAAGAAGAAATCTTCCCTGGAACGATCGGAGAGCCTCGTTGCGAAGGAAGAGACGCCGCCAAACTCGTAACCCTAGCAGAGCGAAAAAACATAGCGAATGCTGACTAAAGAGAATGTTGGTCTGATATATTTATATATATCATGATCTAATTATTTATAGTTGGACAAAAAACAAAAAGATAAGAATTATAATTTTATCAAGAAATTTGTCATTCGGACTAGAATTTAACATATAGAAATGAGAAGATATTATTTTTTCAACAACGAAAAAATTAAATTATGCACATATAATTACATAAAATTAATACTTCAATTTTCAAATCAAAGCCCATTAAAACATCATTTACAAGTAAACTACACAAACACAACATTTTTTTTTCAGAAATTTATTATTCTATTATTCTGATAAAAAATTAGTTAGGATGAATATCACAATTCTTGAATTTATGAATGTATTTTGTGAGTATTTTATCATAAATTATTTTTTTTTTCTAAAAAAAAAAACATTAAAATGTCATAATTTATCATTAATTATATATATCATTAATTTTACCATTAATTATTATTTCGATTTATTAAGTTCTTGTTAAATGAATATATTAAATAACTAACAAATTAAGTTTATCTTAAATAAATTTAATGGCTTCAGCATTTCTACCATTTACTTATAAACTTTAAATTAGAATATCGTCACGCAAAATTTCTACCTTTAACCTATCAATTATCGTCCAGTCGGGGACAACGGCTCGAAAGATTCAAATTACTCTGACTCGCGGGTCCCATTGCCCACGTTGTCTTCAGCTGCCCCGATATGATGTACCTTCGACATGTTAGACTTTCCAATGTTTTCCGAACCCGATTGCAAACCTTTTCTAAACTTAAAGTGAACCACACCCTTTCTAAATTGCAGAACTGCGAACCCAGCGTACCGGAGGTGGGGTCCACTGAGTGTAAACAGTGCATCTCCGAAATTTAAAATCGCACTAAGATCCGAGGTCCCGGAAGTCAGTACGGAATTAATCGCGATTTATGGGGGATTAACAGATCCGGCTGAAGGAGGCAATTCCAAACGAGACGTTCTGTATTCGGCAGTGTCGGTTCTCTATCTGGCCGGAACGGCGCCGGCGCAGATTTGCCGGCACCGGCGGTGGACGCATCTTTTTCTACAGCCATTGTTGCTAAGATGAAGAGCTAGCTTTTGGACTCTCACAGATCTTCTTCTATCTGCGGCGCTACTGCCGCTTTGGTTCTTTCTGTCTTTCGGTTAGTTGCGGCAAGGTATCCTTCTTTTTTATGTGATCTCTTCCGTGAACGTTGCTTTTTTCTGTCTCTTTTATCTTTTTTTGGTTTTGAGGTTGGTTCTTTACGCATTTGCTAGGCTTTCTTCTGTACATCTGATTGTTTCCGTGTGTTTTTTTAAGCTGTTTTAGTGGATTGCTACTTCATCAAATGCCGGATTTCGATATTTCTTCTTCTTAGGACTCTGGTTATTTTGATTATTTTTTGTTCCTTGCGTGTTTTTAAAAAAATGAGAATTTGGATGCTAGGTTGATATCAGTCACATTTGCTGTTTTTTCTTCGTACTTGCATGTTTGATTTTTTTCATAAAATTTCCTGGATCTTTGTGCAGTAACCATTGTCGCATTTGGTACTGAGATGCATTTATCTACTTCTTGTAACGAAGGATATGCAATTTCTGGCATTTCTTATTTGATTTATCATTGCATTCAGAAGATCGTGGAGGGGGACCTGGGAGCGGTTTTTTTACTTGCTTTACATAGTCGGCTGGAAAATGATAGGATCTTTTCTTACCAGAACCCTCGCGTAAGCAATTTCCCAATTTGGATCGCTTCTGTATTTACTTTGTGAGGTGTAATCTGTTTTAGAAGGCTTTTTCATGAAGCAGAAATTGAAAAAAAAAACAATTTGATCGTACCCATTTGTAGATTGGTTCTTGGGTATGCTTATCCTGCTTATGAATGCTTCAAAACTGTGGAATTGAACCGCCCAGATATTGATCAACTGCGGTTCTGGTGTCAGTATTGGTAAATCATCCACATGCCCATTCAGAACGCTTGTGACCTGCCATTCTCCTTACAAAAAAGAATTACTTATGTTGCTTGTTGTAATCTTTTTGTCCACATAACTGCCAGGATCTTAGTTGCAGCATTAACAGTCTTTGAGAGGGTTGGAGACACTTTTATCTCATGGTGCGGTATGCATTTATTCCAGAATTGTCTTATTTTGCCACTTATTTATTGATTTTTAGGTAATTTTTTGAAGGATGCCAATGTATAGTGAAGCAAAGGTGGCATTTTTTGTATACTTGTGGTATCCCAAGACCAGGGTAAATCTTCTACTTGGCAGAAATTGCTCAACTGCATCTCATCGTTATGTAAATTCTTAAGAAATGTTTATTATGACAGGGAACCACTTATATATACGAAACTTTCTTGCGGCCATATGTGGCTAGTCATGAGACGGAGATTGATCGAAACTTACTAGATTTGAAGGCCAGGGCAGGTGACATGGTTTTCCTCTATTGGCAGAAGGCTGCAATTTATGGTCAGACAAGGATATTTGAAATCTTTCATTATATAGCTTCTCAAGCTCCACAACAACCAACAAGGCCCAGATCCACTATGGTAATTATTGAAGTCATTGAGTATATTTATGCTGTCTTTGTAAGGCGTTTTCCATTTGTATATACCACTAAGGAGGTTTGATTTCGTGTGAACATAATATTAGCCCATTTTTATCTGTCTAAAGTCTTCCGCGTCTTTCTTATTACTACTATTTCTGAATAAGGATTCTGCAATACATTCTCAACATAATGGAGTTGAAAAGAAGTCTTGGTTTAGCCAGATAATAATTTTGTGCTGGAAAACTTCCCCAATTTAGATGCTCTTAAAATTTGATGCCCTCATCATAAATGAAGATTGAAACAAAACTTGCATGATCGCTCAAAATCTGTGATTGGTATTCCCCTAGAAATCTCTGTCCCTCCAGTTTGAACTTGGCATCATTTGATACTATATACTTTCTTGAAGATATAATAATATCTGTTTAAACTGTGGAGGAAACTCAAGTCCGAAAGTTATTTGAACTAGTTTCCAAATGCCTACTTTTGCCTATAGCTTTGTTCTGCTCATTTTAGCCCATGTTTACTTTGTCATTTCACTAGATTTATGCACTAGATGTACGTTCTTGGTGATTGCTGATCCATCTCATGTGACTTTTACAAACCTTTATATAAGAACAAAGTATCTTTTCCTTAACATTTTGTTTTGTTCTAGTAGCATCTTAAGAGAAGAATTAGCCATTCGGTACTTTTGAGCATGACAACTCTGGATTTATAGTGATTCTTGAGTTCTTTTTTTTTTTTTGCTTTGGATGTTTGTTTGATCATCTAATCTGTGAGAGTAAAAACCTACAATGAATATTATTTTTTGGCAACAAGTTATTGTCTCACGCATAGATATAGTTATTAGGTATATTGGTCGAAATCATTACCATTTAGTTGCTAGAGTATTTACCTGGCAAAAGGGAAACCTTTAGAAGAAGAATCCAATAATGGTGTTTTACTTTTAAACTCAAACATCCACCTAAAGAATCTTTATGACTTCTTTTTTGTTATAGTAGATGTTTATGCTAATGTGCTTCCTGGAAGTCTCCACCAAAAGCATACTATAAAGATTTATGCTTCAGCAGCCATTTCTTCTTGATCAGTGATTTCTCCCCCTTTTTCATCTATTTTTCCACTGCACTGGAACACTTTGTTTTGTTTACTTTTCCATTTTTAGCTTTACTATTGTGATCAACAAGTGCTTTAGTGCAATCCAATCCCAATTTTATAAAAAAAAACTAGAAAATATGTATAATAATAAGTAAAAATCAAGATAAAAAACTAATAGTAAAAAATGCCTTGGTATGTTGTAATACTTCTGAAATAAGTAACTCAAAAGCATTTTACTGAGTTTACCTTGGTCTTCTTTACTACTGTAGAAACCCATATTTCCGACCTCATTGTTCTTTTAAGAGTTTGATGATTTTAAGAAGTGAGATCTATTTTGATAAATTTGAATAGATGTGTCTTCGTAACTTAAGAAATTCTAACATTATCCTAATAAAATATTCAAAAGCAATCGAGGTAGTGATAACTATGGAAAGATAGTTTTATGAGATTTTTCATTTCTTTCAAGGTTTCCCGTGATCATATCAATAAATCTCATGGTATATAATGCTAATATATGAAGATAAAATCATCATTCCTTATTAAGGAGATGGTTCTAATGTGTTGAAGTATCGAATAACCATAATCAAAAGGAAGAAGAGGGCTTAATCTTTTAGAAATAGTAAGGAGAAGCTCTTGCAATAGAAAAAGAAGAGAGGAAGAAGCCCTCATAGTTGAGAAGGGAAGATGGAAATAGCAGTAGTAATAGTAACATCTTTTTCTCCATATTTAGCCCTGATTTTTTGCAGCAGCGACTGCATTCTCTCTCCGTCATTTGCATAGAGAAAATGAAATCTTTACTCTCATCTTATGTACAAAAGAAAATTTTGTTACTCTTTTAAAGCTTTGTGGAATACTTGACCGTTGTATGATATTTGTTGGTGAATATCACTTAGCCATGTATACTTGCAAGTCTTATATTGTAATCTTTGGTGTACTTGTTCTTTGTCTTCATATAGTTTTGCTCGAAATTATATCACTATCCTAACAACTAGTGCCAGAGTTTTTGGCTAAGCTCCATAAGCTTTTGAGCAATGGAAGACAGAAATGTCACTATTGACAAATTTGATGGTCAAGATTTTGGCTATTAGAAGATGCAAATAAAATATTATCTTTATCTAAGAAGGCTTCATTAACATTAAAGAGATCAAAGCCTTCAACTATTGATCAAGATGAACAAGAGTTGGACTGGCAAATCCGATGAGTTATTCACCTATCTTTGAGCATATAAATATTTATATTTACTTGCAGACATGCAAATCTTTTAAATCATTTAAAAATATCAGTAACTATAATTAATTAAAGTAAAAAATTTGAGCATTACCATGCTTTTCATACAAATTTCAAATATTGGAATTATTTGCCACTACTGCAGCAGAGGCAACCAGTTCATCACAGCAATCAAACACCGGCATCAGCTTCTGCTGGTAATCAAGCAGCCGCATCCCAGAAGCCTCCGCAGCCACTTCATGCTTCCCCAAGTCCAACCAAGAGCAAGAATCAAGAACCTTCATCCCCGCGAACACCGCGAACACTCCGCGCTTTCCCAAGTCCAACCAAGAGCAAGAATCAAGAACCTTCAAAAGCTGCAGGAACTGTTCTTCCTTCAGTCCCACCTCTCCAGATCCAACCATCACCTGGCGCTCCCACTCAACCTTCTGTTTCAGTTAGTACATCTCAACCATCAACAAGTGAAGGAGAGGTAAAGCAAATTGCTGCTACTGCTGTTGAGACAGTGAGGGTCGAGGACTCGAATCTTCAAGCCAAGGAAACGCCCATGGAAGAAGCCATACGAGTGACTCGTGGAAGATTAAAGAGAAGAGTTGGTTCTTTTGGGCCATCGACACGCCAGTGATAAGTTCTCTCTCATTTTCTAGCTTTGTTTTAGTTTGGTTTGTTTGCTTAGCAAGTTGGAGTGAAATATAAAATAGCCAGTCAGGTTGATTGTACCAATTGGTGCACGGGATGGTTTTCTGTTGTGCTTCCTGATGTTAGTAAATAAAACCTCATTGAATTGGAGAGACTTGATCGAGTTACAGGCAAACTACACTCTTCCTCTAGATAGGCTTCATTTGGAACATTTTCTTTATTTCTTTTAAAATACTTTTTTAAGTACAATATTTTCAAATTTTAAAATTTTTTGTGCTATTAAGTTATTTTAGAAAGCAATAATAAAGCTATCACAAACAAAATCTAAGATAGTATTCAGCAAACTACATGGGTTTTTTTTCTTTATATGTGCTTGTTGTGAAGCCAAGGATGAATACTATCTTAGTTTGATTGCTTGTCATCAAAAGGCAGCTGAAATTTATTTTCTGAGACATTGGTGAGTGATTTAGGCTTTATTTGAGACGATTTTCTTACTGCTTCTTAAAATAATTTTTTAGTACAAAAATTTTAAAAAACTGATTTTAATAAGCAATAAGAAAATTGTCTCAAATGAAGTCTTGATTTCAAATATTTGTAATTTAATTAATAGAGTATACTTTAAATATGAGATCCTTGATATAGGAGAAAGTTCTCTATCAACTCTCCTACTCATGCATCATGAATAATAGGTAATCCAATAGCTTCTTCATGATGTTGAAGGTAAAAGGATTCGTCAAAAGGGTGCTTCAACTGGTTGAATTTATCACATTTCAAAGAGTTATCCTGGAGTTCCAATGATATTTTTTATTAGATATCTCTCATTTAACCCTTTTAATACTTATATGCATGAGTCTTTTTAAATTATTTGCAGTACAACAACACGAATTAAGCCTTTATCCCACTATGTGGGATTGGCTACATGAATTATTTTTTTCCATTGTGCCCCGATAAAAATTAAATTATCATATAAATCTTATAAAGAAATGTCATTTCTATTTTTTTTAAAAGCACTTTTATTTCATCAAAAAGGAAAGTACAATGAAGACCAACAAGGAAGATAAAAAAATTACGAAGCTAGAAGCAGCTAATCATGGTAGACAACATTCGGTCCTAGAAAATAGCATGGGCCTCCTACCAACCATCTGGAAGGCAAGCAAGGACCATCCATTGGTAGTGCCAAGCATAGACCAAGCATCACCCCACAATTCAAACAAATGCCGCCAATCAATATGAGAGAAGGAGCCACCAAAGTTGTCAGCAAGCCAAATTCATCTAGAGGTTGGGCAGAAAGCCACATCATCATTGACCGGACTAGACAATAAAGGGTCCCAATTTAGTAGTATAGCATTCAGCTTAGCAAAAAAGTAGAAGAGGAGATCCTAAAAAAAAAAGGACTCGAGCAAAAAAAACCAATTACTTTTTTTTTTTTTAATTTGTGCCTACACAGTTTGCCACCATCATGGAATTGGACTTTTTGAGCACAACGACTTACATTCAGACTATACTCATGAAAATCATCCTTTGGCGTATCCAAATCATCTCCAACATCCTCCAATAAGAAGAGCAAGACCCATCCAACCAATCGAAATGATCCACATGACTAATTGTGAATTTGGAAGCCAATTGATGTTTGAACTCCTCAGAAGAAATATATTCAATTGGAATATCCACAAAAGGCAAATTAACAATCTAGCCCAAAGTACCTATCAAAATAACATTAGAAATCAACATAATTGGAGCCTGAAGACTATGCACTTCAGCATTAAAATTCACTGGAGCACCCACAATAGCTAGCTGATCATTCAAGCCAATAGAAGCATTTACATTCTCATTAGCCACACCAAAAACCAAACAACCCACAGGAGTGGAAACATCACAGTCTTCATGATCCAAAGAATCTGAATTATAGATGAGAGACTCAATAGGAGTGGCAATATAATTAGTTATACAAAAATTAGTTCCCATTACCGTCAACACACTCTCATTATTAGCACAAGAAACAACCACAAACATAA